GCTCCTTTTTTGGAAAATATGGTTAAACAATTTTTGGGGTGAAGTTTTAGGTATCATACGATACCTACATAAGAGCGAACTATTCCAAAGCAATTTTTGAAATTCCACCTGTCACAGTGGAAAATTGGCGGAAACCGGTTGTAGGACTACTTTTCAGTTTAACATTCGCTTGACTTCTAACTCATTATCAAAGTTGTATGTGAAAATTGATAAGATACGTATTTTCTAATTTCTAAAAAAACTAAATAAAACATAATATCTTCGTACACTCCGTACACCGAGACGACGAGAGTGAAAACACATAACATTAGTTTTATCCATCCTGTCATCCATAATACAATCGGAGATTCTATGATATCGGCTTTAGTGTGTAATCAGATCAGATCTGTCATTATTCATCAAGATATGTCGGTCAAATTTGCATTGCTCTAAGCTCTAAAGCCCATTAGCAAGCCAAACGAAAGCATTTAAACAATTAGAAAAAACTTAACAACTGCATTCAGGTAGATATCCCACACTTTTGGGGGCGTAACAGACCTCGCTATGCGAACCTGGCTAAGAGATAAAGCCAACCTACAACTATAATTTACGCCTGCGCAGTTCCAGGAGTTCATTTCATGCCATACACGGACCAGCTTCGACGCTCATTGGTCGGCTTTTAAAGCGGCATTTGCCGAGTCCTGTGATTACGTATACGCCGCATGGGCAAACGAGTCAAAGGCAAAGCCTTTGTTGTTGCTGCTGCTGCTGCTTACCCGAGCTTCCGTTCGTGTAATAGTTGACACTCGGGCTGGGGCCAAAGACAACAATGCCTGCTCGCATTACAAGGATCAAAGGACCAAAGCATACGACGTTACAGCATTCGCAGCACAAGTGCAGTTCGAGTGCAGCACTCACACCGTGCAGACGTGTTGTTTTGCCAAAAATAAAACCAACACACCAATACACTAAAAAGCCAAATAAAACAAACAAGTGCAAGTGCCAAACATTTTCCAAGTTCCAAGCGCTTTTCCGGCCAACCTCACAGAACGGACGCCTATATCATTTTGATTGTTGCTCAGAAAGCCCTGCATTCAATACTTGGCTTTCGAGTAATAATCGAAACCAAATAAGCGATCCTAACTACGTTAACCCAATATTATTATAATCGTTCAAGTAAGTACCTTATTTTACCTATTAGCTGATTATATTTGTTGTTTATATTAAGCTAACATTTAAGAATATATTCTGTATATATATATACATATAATAAAAATAAAATATACAATTCTGTATATAAATATACTTTAACTACTTAGTTAAAGTTAGTTTTTCATGCTTCTCTTGGCCCAGATTTCGATGTTTGTGTGAATTGTATAAAACTAATGATAGACATATTTACATAATTTATTAGAAAATAAACTTAATGTCGATCGGACGAAAACTGAACTTAAAATCTTAATTCAATTAGGAACTAAGAGTCTATTTTCATTTAACTTCATTTTCTGATTTAGTTTGTGCTATAATTACACGGAACAGTCAGAACAGACAAGTATTACCTATTTGAACCAAGCTTTGATTATTACTTATACTTATTATTATTTTTTTATCAAAATATATAATCTTTTTAAAACTTAAGCCAAAAACAATCAAGAGGTTAACCCCAATAATTCCTGTAAAAACCCTTTGATAACGTGCTGATAAATATTTGCTACCAAACATTACAGATTATATATACGAAGTAGAATGAATAGCTCATGTGGTTATATATGCACAAGCTGCTATCTCCCAAATTTACCCGATTCACGTTGCTTCAAGAAATCACCTTTCCACCTATTTCCCGCCAGTGGAAATTGAAAAGCAACCTGTACAGTCTTGAACTGCACGTATAAATTTGCAGTCATGAGTATGTCGACTGGCTATTAATGCTGACCATGAATATATATACTTTATTAAGTCAGAAATGCTCTATTCTGCTTGTTACATATATTCGCAGATGCTATTATTCCATTAGTACCCATTTACTATAATATAATGAGTGCAAAGCCGAATAAAAAAGTGTCATAAAGCCGTTTTCCTTAATTTTTCCACATTTTCGATTGTCTTTCCCGAAACCCTTACTAGCGTGCACCTTCATTGCATGAGTAATTTAGCCAACAATCAAAATAACTATTTCTTAGCTTTTACGGTTAGGGCTGCACTTTGAGAAGTCAGTACAAGAGATAAATATAAGGATAATAAGATAAAAATGTAAAAGAACGAAGAAATTAAAAAGTGTTGCAGGAAGAGAATGAGATACATGTTAAATGAAACAGGAAATAAAAAACAGCTTTTAAATAACTTTGAGATTTATAATCCGTAATTTTTTAAGGAAACAAACTTGACTACCAAATATATGTGTAACGCAAATCAACATCACATTGCAACACACAGAAGGAAAGATAATTTAGAGAGGTTAATTTGTATCTAAAATAACGAATGTCTGCTAAACGCGACAAGTTTATTTCTCCGGCCACTAAAGTGACGGGAATCCGTTTTGGTTCTTTCAAGGATCCCTTGTCACACAGCCAGGTCAATGAATACATTTTCAGATATAATATTAATGCTATGGACTAAAAAATTGTTTGATGAAATTTAAATCAGATATTGTGAATTTCAACTATTTCCCCAATCATTCTTAGTAAAATGTTAGTTTTAAGGAACACAAATGAAGCAGCTATAAAATTATAATTGATATCGGCTGATATCTACCGATAAGCTCTTAGCTCTTAAATTAGATATAATTACTACTATATACAACAATATTCAAAAAATAACCACGACAGAGCTTTAAAATAGACTTCTAATAAATGCGAACAAATAAAACAATAAAACTTGTATTTGTCGAACTTGTCAAAATATACAAGTGTAGTAGGCAGCAGACTGATTGGCAAGCAAGGCTATATTTATACAGTTCTTAATCCAAATTGGCTTGGATTAATCTGTTAATTTTGTTTTCCAGGTAATTTCTTAACTTACAGTTCCCACCAGCCACCCGCATCACGAGTCGTGTCAAAGACTTCCTCCATTGCAAATTAGTCACCAAAACAAAAGGCGGTTGTTGAACTTTTTACTCCAAACAAAACGATTATAAAAACGTTGGCGACAAAATCGCAAAGCGACCTTCACATTGAATGCGTCCAAGTGCCAAAAATTGAGCCAATACAAGCAAACGAATGTTGTGTCTGGATGTCAATGCACCTAAACCAGTTTTGTTGGGGGAAACATTCAGGTTTCGTTATTATGTATTATGTATTATTTATTTATTTTGGTTAGGCTGTCAACAGATAATTTGTTGTATTTATTAGCATTTGTCGAGACACAAAACCCGCCCCGATCAATGAACCTGCCAATATTATTGTTTGGATGGGCGACAAATTTCTGTTTCTGGGTTTCTAAATCGTTTCGTTTTCATTTGAACCAATTCTTGGATAACGCGCATCACATGCCTTCCCAGCTGTCTGACCAGTATAAATCCGTTAGTGGTCTATTAAACCAATTTGTTAATTGTATGTCACGATATAAATATATCTACATCTATTCAATTTTAATTCCTGCTTAACATTCATATGCGCTCTTCTACGTTTTCCATTGTCTATTTGGAAATTAAAATTCAATTCCTGATTGCATAAATAAACCACAATATATAATTAGTTCTTACAATGCCTTATCAAATTATGCCCAATGCGCTACACCTGCATTTTTTCACTGTCTATGTCATTGAGGGGCTGGGCGACATTGTAAGCGTCGCTTTTTTTTTTAGTTTAATTCAATTTTAAGGGCAATGTTAATGTCATATTTAACATTTCCAGCATTACATTGATTGTGTGGGTTGGTATCAACATTGAAATTCAATTATCTACGCACTTTGGCCCATTATCATGCAAAGCTGCATGCACTATTTGCATAATAACGATAATTGGGCCAAGTTACATTTTTCATTATGATAAATGCAGAGACATACTCTGTTGCCAGTGTAACGAAAACTCAAGACAGGAGTTCCTTATTCAAACTAGGGCGGAAATAAGGTACTTAAAGTTTCATCTTCAGAAGCATCTTTAGCTTTGGATATAGGGTCAAAACCAGTATATGTGATCTAGGCGGAAGTATCCGAATGAAAGATAATCCGTAGAAGTTACATATACCCAGCAGAAACAACATTTGTAATTCTTCTGCCCTCGTTCCTACACAAATAATATGCAATCGGAAATGATATAATACTTATAAGCTGCCAAATGTGTACATTAACCAATTACAAGGCAGTTTTTCTAAAAGAAAAAACATATTTTTTTACATTTTTTTACAATTTATGTGCACATTTTAGAAGAATCTTATTAGCAAAATTTGTTTTGAGAACGATCTTAAAAGATATACTAAATATGTTCAAAAGGTGGTTTAAAGCGTGGTTATAATCGAGCCTGAGATCAATCCAAATTCAATCCTTCTTACATAGCCTCTGAGATGGACGCGTACAATCAGACGGACAGACGGACAGAGAGTCAGACAGACGGACAGACATACAGACAGTCAGACAGTCAGACAGACATACAGACAGACAGACAGACAGGCAGACAGACAGTCAGACAGACAGTCAGACAGACAGGCAGATAAGGTCAAGAGTATAAACATTGGTACATAATTATAATTTATAGACTGGGAGGCGCCTGTTACATAACTTTTTCCCACTTTATTAGCCCAGAAAAAAATTGAAAAATAAGGATAATGGGGCAATAAACTTGATGCACCTACATGCGTAAACGGTTGAAAATATATATACAAATACTCATATTGGCACAACTATTTGTCAGCCATTCAATGTCATGAACTTCACTGGGTCATAAAAAACGCAACACACACACTCAAACTTTTTTTTGCTTTTGGCTTTTGTTTACATTTCACGTTCGTAGTATTCGGCAGCGCCTACAATATTGTGAACAGGTGGTGGAGAAAGGGGCGGGCGGGCAGAGAGCCAGACAAAGCAAATGAAGTGCCAAAACGTGGTGCACATGGGCGACACGGAGGTGCAGTCGCTGTCGCTGTCGCTGCCGCGGCCGACGTCAGCAAGCTTTAAGCTTGACGGCAACAGGTGTTGAGACTTCCGTGCGTTATCAGAAAGCTCGCTAATCCGCATAGAACAGCAGCGAGCCAGACACGGGCTCAGCCGAGCCGACCCATATATAAATTTATTTGCGCACAGAATATTTGTGACAGTTCGTTGAATAGTTTTGCACCAGCAAATGCTTAACGGTCAGTTTTGAAAGGAACAACAATATGTGGAAACTGGTGCACATTTTTGTAGTTTTAAATGTTCTTCGAACTGCGCAGGCGCAAATTGCTTGTAAGTACTACCTTAAGTACCTGATACTCGATCCTATAAAGGACATCGAATACAAAACAGATAGTTTTATCCGAAGGCTGTTGTAGCCAGTGTTGGTAAAGAATATAATAGGGTTGACATAACCTATACTGCAGCAAAGAATTCAAAAAACATTGAAAATAATGTTCGGTAATGTGTCTTCCAAATAATAGTTACTAGTGTGCCCTGCTCTGTGCGGAATCCCAAGATCGTTGGCGGCAGCGTGACGGAACGCCATGAAATGCCATTCATGGTTAGTCTGATGCGTCGTGGTGGCCACTTTTGTGGCGGCACCATTATACATGAGCGCTGGATACTCACCGCTGGTCACTGCATCTGCAATGGCCTGCAAAAGTTCATGAAGCCCGCCCAGATACAGGGCGTGGTGGGGCTCCATAGTATACGCGAGTATCTGAACGGCGTTGGCAACGGGCCGGATGCCTTGCGAGTGGACTTTAGGAGCATTGTTCCGCATCCCCAATATGACTGCAACAATGTGCAGCATGATATTGGTAGGTATACATTATATCATAATAATTAAAGCAAACTTCCTTCTATGGACACATGTTTATCCGTTTAGCTCTGCTGGAAGTGGTGCAACCCATGGGCTTTACAGCCTATATTCAGCCGAGCTGTCTTAGCTCGAGGGAGGAACGGCAAAGTTTGGTGCCAGAATACGGCACAGTGTCCGGCTGGGGCTGGACAAATGAGAATCAAGCGGAAGGCGAGCGTGCCGATGTTTTGCGCAAGGCTACAGTTAAAATATGGAACAATGAGGCCTGCGAGCACTCTTATCGTGCGCTGGGCAAGTCCAACAGTATAACCGATACCCAGATGTGCGCGGGATACGAGAATGGCCAAATCGATTCGTGTTGGGTGAGTATGCAACTTGTTAGTAGAGCACAAATGTTATGTTGCGCACTTTTTATTTGTTTTCGTCAGGCTGATTCCGGTGGCCCTTTGATGTCGAAGGAACATTATTTACTGGGCGTTGTGTCCACTGGCATCGGCTGTGCACGACCAGGCTTACCAGGCATTTATACACGTGTCAGTAAATATGTCACATGGATGCAAAACGTTATTGGTAACAGGCGATAGTCGTTAGAGATTGTCAACCAAATGTGATAAAACTGTGATATTACATTAAAATGTATTTACATAAGGCAATTAAATGTTATAAATCCACTCGTACTCTGTAGATAAATTGTCTCCGACTGAGTCTAAACGTTATTTTGCGTAACAAAATTATATAGTCTCAAAGTTAATAACCAAGTGCTGGCATTTTTTTTAATAGATTTGAAAAGTAATTGGCAAGAGCGCCAATTGTACAGTTAAAAAGCTTATTGGCAGCACTTTCTATATCATGCTGACCTGAGCTGCCAGATCGTTATAAATATCAACTCTTGCAATGGCAAGGTCAATGATTATCAGCTGCGCTGTAAAAATACGGACAACTAAGCACTGATGAAGTAAATAGAAGCATCTTTCTAACGGCTCATTTAGAGATAGGTAATTATTTATTCTACATTCAAATACGACTCAAATGAATTTCCCGACTCTTTTGAAAACTGTTAAAGTCTATCGGAGGTTATTTTTGCACGATGCTAATAACATTTCAGCTAATGTTAAAGTTCTGGGTGCCCATATTGTACTGTTCGCAATAACAGCAGTGCTCACTTTAATGAGAAGGTTTGAGCGAAAAGAGAACAGTAGTAGAAAAATAAAACAAAGTTGGATATGGACGACCCAGCACTTACCAGGTAATAGCAATAATAATAGTTAATTGCTAATAATTAACAATATATACTTTTTTTTAAATTTGTAACAGCCAGGCAATCGCAGAGCTTATGCGCGAATTCCCAAGCAACAACGGCAAGGCTTCCTACGAACCACAAGAGCGCAAAATTAATCCACTGGGCAAACCAAACAAAAAGTTTTTGGGGCGAACAATAAACAATGCACTGTGGCACAACAAGCGGGCAATTGAGCGCACGCAGGCGAGCTGCCAGCAAAAGCTTCAGGAATTAGACGACAGATACGAGAGGCGCAAAACAAATGCCTTCTACAGCCGTAATAAGAAGGAAGAATCATGCAGAAGAAGGGAGCGTAAAAGTCGGTCCAGGAAGAAATTGAGAAAGCGACACAAAAGCAGAAGCTCATCTAGGGAATCGCGAAGTCGCAGCCGAAGCCACAAAAGGAAACACAAGAAAAAGCACAGTAAATTTAAGCGTAGACAACGAAGAAGAAGAAGCACCAGCAGCAGCAGCAGCAGTGAAGCAGCGCCGCCAGCGAACACAGCTGACGAGTTAACAGTGCCGAGACCCGAGTACTACGTACATTCAAATAATTTGGCGCTAGCAATGGCTATGGCCTACAGTCAAACGTTGTTCGCGCACCAAACGCCAGCTAATAAACCACACTCACCCGCTTCGCCTTCCAGTGATATAATCAGGGAGCTGATGTCGGATGAGGAAACGATGAAACAGGAAATCCAGTCGGATACGCTATCCGTTGCATCATCAAGTGAAGAAGTTCCCGAAATTGTCACAATTGATGTGAGTTCGCAGGATGAGCGATCTGTTGGCAGCTCAGCTGGAACTGACAATGAAAGTGACGCTAGCAGCTGCAGCTCCATAGCTCTGGTAGACAGCGGCAGCGATGAATTGTCATCTAATAATGGCAGTGATATAGAAATAATTGAGTGTGATACAGAGCCAAAAGAAGAACAGAATCAATTACCAGTGGAGTCCACGCAACAGGCAGATCCGGAGGCAGCGTTGTCTGCCCCAGCAACCACGGTGGATTTGACTGACGATTAGCATAATTAGTTAGAGCAAACTAAAAAAGGGACCATTATTTTTACAAGTCTGTTAGAAAAATGTTATGTTAACAGTTTATGTTAATAAAAACAGTTAATAACGTGAGAGTGCTCTAGCATATGTCTGTATGTACACATACATTTCAACAAACTTTAGTATAAACAAACAAGTGTGCATGCATATCAAACTGGGGCAATCGACAGTGGTGAATCGTGCCCGTCGTTTATCCTGAGGAGTGCAAAGCGTTGTTAAAAAAACGAAAAGAAAATAAACAGTGCTCTCGTACGTGTTGTTTTTTTTTTGGCTATTTGCCTTGCATATAACGGCACTATTAAGGGCAGTAGATAATTCTCTCTTTGCGAGGTCAATTGCTTGCTGCCCGCTGTAAACAAAATTTCGCCTTGCTTTTGATGCATAATACATGTGTGTGTATATCTGCAAGTATTTGTGCATTGAAAGAAGCATAACAGAGAAGTGAACGGACTCGAGTTATGGAATTGCCGGCTATTTCATCAAATTTAAAAAATAATATCGGTAATATATATGTATACATATATATATGTAAATGCTATGTACGTACACTTCCACGCATGCATGAAGATTTGAACTTAATCACGCACTTACGGACATTTAGAAATATTTATGTATATATACTATAAATAACTATTATTTATGTATGTATGCGCGTTATTTTGTATTTTTAATAATATTTGAATATTTATTCCCTTGAAGAGTTTATTAAAACTGTGCCACGAAATATGCAATGCATTGATTGAGGAGTCGCAGACTTCATAAAGTATCTACATGGACATAAAGTATCTATATACATACATGTATCTACATATATGTAGTTTCTTGTTAAGGGCAACAAGCTGAATTGATGTTTTACCCTGTATGTAATTTGTCTATCAGGATAAGTTAAGTATTCACTTTGGCTGGAGGCAGTATATATGGCGGAATCAAGCGGATTGACTCACTATCTCGTTAGGAACAACATAAATATATTTGACAATGAGTTCTTCAAGAAAAATCCCAAGACTTTCGGAGCCTGCAAATCAGTATGAAGGTACGTAAATATGTTTAATTCACCACAATACAATTCAATATACGAGCAGTTTTAAGATTTTAAGATTAAGACAATAATAACAATTAAAGTACATTATAAATAAACATTTCTTAAAATATTTTGTAGAAGAAGATAAAGAGTACGATGGGCGCGTGCAAATTGACGATTTGAAGGGTAAGCTCAGGATATAAACACTCTTTAGGAAAATTATAAATAAACATTTCTTAAATAAATCCAGATATAGAGTTTCATAGATGCGAGCAGATTGAAGATTTCAAGGGTAAGCTTAGATAGAAACCTTCATAAAGAATAATATAATTTATAAGCAAAAACAACTTAAATTTTCTAGAAAAAATAGACTCAATCACGAACACGCTCTGTGAGCAAAAGGGCATGATGTGCTACGCAGACGAGGAGTCGCTTCATCTGACCTTTCCCCTTAAATCGCACGAGGACCTGGCCGTAGCCGATATGGCAATTCAAAATGGAAGCCAACTAGTTTACGTAAGTTACAGGAACCCAACTAAACACTTATTGTCATCATTTTCTAATGAAAACATATAAAAACAAGCTTTCAAAGAACTCCTTGCACCAATAAAATTCATTAATATATATGTATTACAATCATTTTAATCTGTACCAATTTTACAGATAAAAGCGTTGAAAAGATTAATCTATCCAAATGGCATTCTCAAGCAGTTTAAAGATATAATATCGGATGAGCTGGCGAACGAGTATAACGTGGATGGGTTCCATGGCCAAAAATGCCTTAAGAACTATCAACATTTTTATGATGCGCTCTTAAGTAAATATGCAATATAACTAAATCATTATATATTTGTCCATAATATAACTAAACGTTTATGTTACAGGCTCAACTGACGAAGACAATGCCGAGGAACTGATCCGAAAGGCGGTGCACTTGGCAAAGAAACGACAATCGAAAAGAAATTTGTTGAAGCAGGCGCATAATATTTTATAAAAATTTAAAAAAATTGTTAACTTATATTTAACATTGTATGCATATGTATCGGTGTATGCGACATCCCATTCCGCCGTTCAAGAAAAGATAACATGAATATTTGTGGTTGAACCACAGGCCTGGTTAATGCCTTTTAAACTGGAGACTACGGAACACCGAGGAATTTTAAAATACCAAACTGATGACACCCACTTATAGAATTAGAAGTACTCGAGTACCAACCGGTAAAGCATCTGCGTCAACAGATGCAAATCACAGTCAAGTGCATCCGTGTCCCCCAGAATGTTGTCCTGAGAAGTCGGACGTTTCTTTAGGACTTTGGCATACCAAAAGTCATAGAGCAAATCAACCGACCAACAAGTCGGAGCATGCCAACCCGTTGCCTTGGTCCGCTTTGGGGAGCAACGCCAAGGACTGAAGCATTTCCGCACGAGTTATAATTGCAGCTACTTTCCATGTTTACTTGTTATAGAAACTTGACTACAACATTTTTATCTAAAATGTTTTCTATGTTCCATTTGATGTCATTAATTAAAGTTGAAAATATTATAAAATGGAATATGATGTATCAAAATAAAATGATAATTGTTATGTTTCACATAATACATTAGAGCAAAGGGTATCACGTGATGTTTGGTACATTGGAGGATAACAATTAATCCTCGCAAGCACTTATTTTAAATTTATATAAACGGTTGACATCGGATTAATAAATCATATAGCTGACATTGGATGGATTGGCAGGAAATTGGATTATTTCTTATTTCAAGACAAATTTTCTGTCGTTTTAATAACTAACAAGAAGCTTTTTTCATTATATCGTGAAATTACTTGCGTGACTCGTAAAATTCAAATGTAGAAAAAGAGTTATATATAGTTTATAGCAAAGCTGAGGTATCTTTGCAGAAAGAGTATAATTGACAACAGGTTTCCCTCTTTGACTCTCTCTCTCTCTCTCAGTCGCGCTCTCGTTCGTTCTCATGAGCGATCTGTCAAATGACACTATCTCTTGTCACTTTGCGACCAGCTGATTTTCTATTTACAATTAAACAGCGCATTTTCACACGAACAGCGTTCAATAACCAGTTTGATTTCGTTTAAAGAAACAAATCGGAGTTTATATAATGCTTGGCAGCTTAAGAAAGAAGCTAAGCAATGCAATCCAGGAGGGCATTGTTATATCGGAGAGCATACAGGAACAGTATCGCCAACGTGTCAGCAACAGTGGCATCAGTCAGACAAGTGCGGCCACAACACCCTCGTCGCCGCTGGACTTGAACGAAAGCTTCTTTTCCAGCCGCAGCAGCGCGCAGTCGCTGAGTGGCCAATTGACTGATGGTGTGCCCACACAGCTCAACGTGGCTGCGGGCTGCAATCTGTTGGCCAAGTACGAGGATGACTGGCAGCAAATTCATGCCGCTAACGAGGCGAACGCTGGCCACGCGGCAAGCGTGGCCACACAAATTACGGGCGTGCTGCAGCGTGCCAGCGAACAGCGTACCACAATAAATGAGCTCAACAGTTGTCTGGCGGGCTTGCCCGCATTGGTGGCCAAGCTGCAGCACAGTGCTGAGACGCTGGGATCTTTGGAGGAGTTGGGCCGGCAGCTGGAACTGGAGCTGGAAAAGCTGGAGAATCTGTGCGAGGAATGCGAACTGCAGGAATTCGTACTGGAGCAGCAGTTTCAGCTGTCCAAGCATAAGCAAAAGAAGCTTGATGAACTGGAGCAATATAGGCAAAAGATTGCAGCACAGCATCATCAAAAGATGCAAAGCCACGAACAGCAGCTGAGACAGCTGCAAAAGGAGCGTCAGGCGGTATTCGACGATGCATTCCGAGGGGATCTAGAAGAGTATAAGCAGCGCGGACAACTGCCAAGTATGTTTCTCAGCACGTTCAAAAGTAAGAAGCATTTACATTAATGTTCTTTTCATTTGCAGAAATACAAACAAAAGCAAACAAATTGACTTTAGAAGAAGTCGTTCTGGAGCAAAACGATGTGGACTCTACGGATGCCCTTGAGCAATTTCTTAACGGTTAATATTGGCGCACTTTTGAGCATTCACACTTGTGCCTTTTGTGCAATACAATATGAAATTGTGCCTTTTGTTCAAACTTAGTCTATAGAAAATGCAATTGTAAATATATTTCACATTACCAGATAAGTTGTCCATGTATTTAAATAGGGATTATTCTAAAAATATTTCCTTTTCACTAATAAAGTCATAGTCGCAACTTCAACGGTAAAAAATAGATGCATTGCTTTTCCATTTAACTTAACCAACTCTGTTAAAGTTTACGCGGCAGTAATCGGCTGTAACGTACGCTGTAATCGATTTTTGCTGTAAAATACAAGCCTAAGTTCTGTTACGAGAATTCAACGAATTATTTGAATTTAATTCAGTGAAGTATAATAAAAAAATTGCATCAAATGAGTTTTTAAAAAGATCTTTGAAGAGTTTTAAACTAATCGAATAGTAAACAAAAAATGTGCATAAAAGCGTTTTCTGTGAAATTTCCAGAGTTGCGGATTACCCGGCAAATCTTTGACCCTCATTTCCATCAAGGGATGAATTTTTCGAAAAATGATAGCACAGATCTGTGAATATGAAACCGATCAGATGGTAGACAAGAAAGATACATATAACCGTTTTTCGAAATGTTTCTACACTGTAGCTTACAGTAATCATTTCCGCTTCCTAGATCTTACGATTTGAATTGATCACCGAGCATCACCTATACTCAATATGCCAAAAGACAGAGCCGTAACAAACTTCTCTTTTTGTTTAAATCCTTAAAACTATTGTCAATTTAAATTGATTTATGATTAATTTATAATCGATGGTCGCAAAGTCTTACTATCGATAAACGTAAACTCATACAAGATTTACGTCAGGGCTACCGTTCAATGTTCTGCGATGATATGCCGTAATATATACAAAAAACATTGAAAACATCGCCGCATCGGCATCGGCATCAAAATATCGATATCATTGATGCCAAGACCTGTCCTGTAGGCTTGTAAATTGTATCAATATATAAATGGTAAATATTAAATGTGTGTGCACATTCTAATTAAACAAACTGCTAAGCAGTGTATTTAAAACAATAAGTGATTCAAAGCGCACTGAACATTGTGCGAACCGAGCCAGTCTTGCATTTGGCGACGTAAAAAGACGAGCACGCGCAGGCTGCCGTCTGCTGCTGGCATATCAGCTGCTGCTGACTGTGGTTGAGATGGGGAAACGACCACGATACCGATACCACATCCATGCCCAGTTCTTGGCCAATCTGCTGCCGGTGTTTTCAACATGAAAGTGTTTTCTACAAATTCGTATACGCACGAAATTCGATTCAGTGCAAAATACATGCAAACATACACGTCTATTTGTAAATGTGTATAAACAGAATTATAAAGTGCGCATAGATGCATTACGCATAATTTACCGATACGTATACATACGTATAGAAAAATACATATATAACTACTTACATGTATACATATGCATGGAGTGTATGTGTATGTGTGCATGTCTTCGGTGTCCTGTGCATCCCGTATAATTTCTCAGCTGTGGCATTATCTCAGTAGAAGGGCGAGGGACTTTTTGCCGGGTATTGTATATTTTGCTCAACAGCTTTTGACCAGGACACACCTTTCCGACTGACTGAGAATAAATAAATAGGAAATTGTTCAAATATATAGTCGACTCTGCTAAATTAAATATACATACGTAATTTGAACATACATAAATTTGTTGTCTTATAACTTTCATTTACGTATTGCAGCTACATATGTAAGTCAATGTTGCCGTGATATGATGTTTCAATGAATGCGTTGCGCTGAGGGACAGTGGTGAGTGCAAATAAATGATAGACAGTAATTTATGTTTAATAAATAATAGTTTACTTTCTTGCGATCCACAGCTGCAAATTCGTGTAATAAATATAGTTATATAAGCCAAAGCCAAATTTTGCCGATTTTACTTTGGTAAGACAGGCCAACTTTTGCAATCAGATCACACAAGTCATGCCACGAGGTAAACGTCGAGCTCCAGAAATCGGTGACAATATGGATGGCCAATCAAAAAGAGCACGCACCAGCTACACAAGCATTGCAACACAGCAGAGCAGCAGGTGAGCCAAAAACACTATCCAAAGAAATCACGGTTGACACACAAAGTTGGCCATATAAGTACATATATATAAAGAGGCTTGTCTTGGCCGTTAGAGCTAGGTGTCCAAAATTTGACTGTAGTAAGTTTTCATAAAAATACAAGTTAAGACAGGGTTTTGACAATTTCACACGCAAGTGCGGAAATCAGTTATAAACGATTTCCCTGCTTAGCATCCGATCGTCTTCTCTGATATTCCAGCTTATGAATGAAAAATGTTTATATTGAGTTTGATCGCGTTCAAAATCATTTCATAGAAAAATGCTGGAAAAATCGTTATTGTGTAAAATCAAGCCAAAGGTCGAAAAATTTAACTGATGCATGAAACTGATTTTTGTTTATGGAAAATCAAACCAATTCCAACTCCATCAGTTTGCACATATATCCAATACATATATATCCATATATCCACCCGAAGCCAACATATTTATTTTTACTGCATATACTGACAAATCGATACAATCGATACATTAATAAAGGAATTAAAGATAGAGATAAAACCTAGTACTCCAAAACCGGTCCGCAATGCCTAATTAGAAGGTTCTCGAACTGCAGCAAATAGATTCACATAATAAGACTTACCTCGTTAAACAGGTTTTTCAGGGCGTAAATAATAATCTTACGAGCTCTATGCCCTATCTGCAGGGGTATTCAATCTGCGGCGTTCTCTAGATAGCAGTTATTTCTTTTTTTCAGCTCTTAGAATCTGCTGCAAATATAGGATTTGATAACCGATATATATCTAGATTTCGGAACCAAAGAAAGCTATCGAAATAATAAAATAATCTGGATAAAATATGAGCGAACTTACATTCACATCATATACTCTACTACTTTATGGGAACGGAGATGTATCCTTATTTCTTCCTTATAAACTTTTCATCAGTTTTAACTCGAAACTTGAATGTAAACGGCTTCCTTTCAAGCTGTAGATTCTAACATCGTCTCTCACCTGTGAATGTTTATAAATTTATTAGTTATTTAGTTGGAAAAAAGAAGAAACCTTTATAAAACTCCATTTCCTATAGGAACACTATAATACATGTGAATCTCACTCATCTCAATATGCAAAAAGTATAGTAAATCACGTTTTCTACGTTTATGATCCAGGTTTCGGTTCGAGATATCTTGAAAAATAACCAATAATCCGATTTCTGTCTGACCGTTCCTCATACATATATGTCTGTCCCTCGCAATTTCGACATATGTATAGCCTGCGGCAAAAATAATCTGTGCTAAATTTAGTCAACACGGTCTTTAGCCTAGTACAGACGGACATGGCTTTAACCAATCACCCCGATGTAATTACGTTGATTTTGGGGGTTGGAGATGCCTCCTTTAATGCATTATGCATGTCAAAATTAACGGCCCTCTGTCAATTTCACAATTCGTCGTTAACAAGTCAAATTGGCCTAGTCAGGAGTGCCCTATTATACCCTGACCTCAACTCTAACCTGTCGATACAAGCAATTTAACTTACATTAGATACATACATGTCTAAAAGCACGCATGCCACGAGCTTCGCTGTTTTCACTGTGGCTGCGTTGCCTCCCCCCTTAACATCAAATGCTTTCTTGAGTAGATTCGGTGTTTATAGTCCGATCGTTATGAAGTTTCAAGTATCAAAATTTGCTAACAAATATGTGTAAACACCAAAGCATAAGGCTCTACTAGAGTAATCCCAAAAGCTATATATACATATGTTTAGAATCCGAATCTTGTAGCTCTTGTAAGCCCCAAGATATGGTAAAAAATCAGGATGTCATTATCGATTCTTATTGATCTCGTGAAAACGTGGTGAAATGTCGATGATTTCAAATAAGCTCGAACTTTGGCTGCACTACAAGGACCTGTATAGAATATATTAAGTCTCCTTATAGCTTTTATACGTCATACCCCTTTTTGCACATTTTATGCCTTAGCGTTGATATAGTAGTCCAATATGGTACGGCTTTGCCCGATATGTGAGCAGAACAGCTAGCTAATGCGGAATATATCTACTTGATCAGTGCGAACAGCCAAGTTGATGCAGCCAAGTCCGTTTTTCTGTTTATATATAATCTAGTCTCAGTACAACATACAAATTATAATTATAAATTATAAGTTGGATCAATTTATGTTAATTATAGATGGAATTTATGGGATCTATATGATATAGTATGATATGACATATTATCATATATGATATAGTATCATATAGTTCCCATGATAAGTCCGATAAACAAGTCCTTCTACGAACAACATATATTGATGCGACATATGTGAGACCTAAGTCTTATAGCATTCTCTTTGGTAGACGCTCAACCGTTAATTGAAACATTATTTATTTAGAATTGATTTATTAGTTCGCTTAAATATTTTTTGATCTTAAATGAAAAGAGGTGCATTTAAATTGAAATGAATTTGAGGAGTATTATGGACTTAGTAAATAAGTTAAAGAAGAGGTTTTTGAACAAAAAAATTAACGATCGATACGATTCGAAAGTGACAATACATAATTTTAGATATATGCTTATGTGTATTAGAGATGCAATGCGATTACATTAATTTGATTTGTTGCATGAAAAAAATGGTTATTAGTAATTATTATACCCTGTACCCATTTAATGGGTTTGCAGAAGAGTTTATTTATTTCATGCAAATGCATTTATCAGGCGGATGAATGGTTTCTTTGGTTCTACAAAAGCTTTGTTTTACTATATCGTCTATCTGTCAATCTTTTACTTTGAATTCGAGCTGTCATTTAGTCGGCATTTTAAGATAAATCTTTATTTTTGGCACACATAAAGTTTGTACCCTCATCTCTTGCTAAAATTGCATTATTTATTCATTAACAATTTTATTGATCAAGGCTGAGGGAATGAATGTGTGATGTGTTGATATATATATTTAGTATTTGCGTACAGGACATCTTTCTATTTCGACTAGGGAACTCTGACCAGGCTTCGTTTGGCTAGTGCTTAAATTTATCTTGTCAGTTTTATATATTTCAAAATTGAATTTTACATATCGGGCAACTTTTTATATTGTGTATACACCTCTAACAAATACACAAAATGCTTTTGAATTTAACGTTTTAAATGTAGATAGTTTTGGTTTTTTTTTTTTTTTTGATTAGTTGTGTAAATATATACTCGCATATATTTAAAAATGTATATTAATGTATTTATAATATGTTTAATAATTAACATTTTAATTATATTAACTATATGGAAGACATTTGCAATTCTCATATATGTATGTATATGTATTTCTTTAATAGGTGTTTGTTCATTCCTTTGTAACAGTTATATTTCTGTGAATCTCGCTCACAATTTCGTTTAGGTTTGAAAACGTAATTTTATATTCATTATTTAAATACCTCAATACTGATATGCAACAAATAACGGTACAAAGATATGATTTGAAAGTAATTGACAAACGAAAAAAATATGCCGGTACATAAATATTCTGTTTACTCCATCGAACCATATTGAACCTTCTTGACTTTGAAATACCTGCAAAGATATGAATTAGTTAATTGAAAGCTATTTGCATTTAAAAATTTGATATTCAAAAAACGATCAGCATACCGATTGAATCGGTTATTTTGAAGCGAATCAATCTGGCAGCATTTGCATTGTTTGTTTGTTCCAATTGGAATTGGCTTGGCCGATAGTTGTGAACGGGTTTACTTACCGCCAACCGCCGTAGCCGGAAATGGTCAAGAGCACCGCAATGGCCAGCGCAGTGCCAACGGCCAGAGGTGCCGTCTCGTCGCGATAGGAGCCGGTGGCACTACAGTGGAACGAGGGGCCCCACTTGCCGCTCTCCTTGAACATGAAGCTCTGCATGTGCAGGTCGCGCAGGTAGAGGCGTGCAATATGGCCAGACTGGTCGCCGGAATCGTGGGGTGCATACAATATGACGGTCTGCTCCTTGTCACAGAGATAGGACTTGCCCACGGGCGTTGGAAAGTACATGGGCGTCTGCGCTGGCGAGGTTAGCTTCACATTCAAATTGGGACGGTCGGGATGTTCGAATAGGGAATTCGATGACGAGTATGTCAGCTCAAAGAGGTTGATGTACCAGCCTTCGCCACCCGACGACTGTGTGTGTGGGAGCATGCAGAGCAGAAATGAACTTTAGTGTTAACCTCTGACCTTATTCGCCAGCTGACGCAACCATCCACCAAAAGGAAGCAACCACAGCCAGTTACCTTTTTGAATGTCATCGACAGCGTAAATCCCTTGAAGTCCATGGTCAATATTTCCAAATTGGATTCGACGCATTCACCGCTCAGCTGCGGACTGTCCGGCATATACAGATCGGCCTCGACATCCTCGTTCAGCTTGTTTCGATACCGAATACTTATCAACCCGTCCACCTGCATCAGAATGCAGGTGATGCCGTTTGTGGCATTGAAGCGATAAATCGAAGTAGTCGCATCATGGTTCATCGAGGATGCCTGCAACAGCAACAATTGACACTAGAAGTGAACTGCAAGGGATCGGATCAGACAGAGCTAGCACTTACTGATGGCGACTTGGTAGAGTATTTGGAGACCCTCGGCGTTTTCGTTGTAAAGGCGCTCAGCTGAAGTCCATCAGCGCTGTCCGCTACGAAAAAGAAGGTGTTCAGCTTAAATGGTTTTTTTCTTCTTACGAGTCAGTGTGTCAGCATTGTGATGTCCTCCGTGCTATTGATTTTTTGCCACCCCACCCCTTTGCGTCAGTCGGGCCATCCCTTAGGCAACGGGGTGCTTTGGGAACTTACCAAGTAACGCCAGCAGCATGCAACAGACAATTTTGAATACACATCTCTTGGCATAGTTTAAATGAACGTTATTCCCATGAAACGCAAGCATTTTTCTTCTGTTTATTAACTAATGCTTTGATTTGAATTTTTACGTAGTAATCCTTGCTTCGAGGGCAATAACGACGTGTGTCTCGCTTGAAGTCCTGCGCACAACTGCGCCCTGAACTCGTTGTAATGTCACACACCATTCGGCTCCTATCTGACGATTCTCGACTTTCGACTCTCGACTCGACATATTTTGACACGAATTTCATTGAACTCTCGCTTTCAGTTGACATTCCAGCGCGCAGTCGCCTGAACTCTGTTTAAAACGTCCGTTAAGTATGTCGGGCACCGAAAACTGAACAGTGATGGGCATTTTTATTCGTACAACAGTCGAATAAGAGACTTTTTAATATATATTTATTATAAGGGAATATTATTTCTGATGGAATGCAGAAAGAACCAATATAGCCTTTTCATATTGGTCATGAAGTCGCAAAATAGATTCACTTATTTTAATTATTCAATTTCTTGCATTTCAAGTGTCGTGAAGCATTAAAAAGATAGCAAAACTAGAACGGCTTAACTCTGTCATGAAAAGAGAGGAGATATAACAGGCGATCTACAAGCCAATCAAATCTTTGTATTCTAGATCAGTATAAACTGTGAAATGCATATGAGCGGCTGCCTCGCTTTCCTCCTTCTTTGAATACCATACTCAAGATCTAAGCTCTCTAAATGTAACTTTCTTGAAACTCTATAGCGTTCTTATATCACGCAGGCAGCAGTATGTGTGTATGTCAGAAACTAAGCTTTTGTATAAACAACTTTTTGGTTTTCAAGACTTTTCGACTAAATTTGGCAATTTGATTTCTGAGATTATCGGAGATAAGTCAACATTATCGTTGGTTGACTGAATGTTTTTGTGTTGGTCACTGTCAAATGTATGGTCTATACGGAAGTAGGAATCCCATCCTTGCCCCAAAAATGAAACACCTGACATATATCTACAAGCTTTTTGAAGAATGTAATGTATTGTTATTATGTAATAAGTAAAGTTCAAGCTATCTCCCAGTTGCACACGCAAGCTACAAACTATTTTCTTTAAGGGTATAAAGTTTCTCAATTACCCTCAATTTCATATGTCATGAATATCAGTAAGATATTCAAATGACATTATTATGCTTAATATTTAAACTTTCATGTCCGATAGCGCATGTATATATAATACTAGACTATACAAAATATGCATATTTATTAATGGCATCCGTTTGCCGCCCCGTTTTTGTCAGTGTCACAACTGTATCTGTAAAGGTGGCCGTCATTTCGTATATGTATGCTCACTTCGAATTGTCTTGGGCTCTTGGCATTGGCATCCCTGTTGAGTTGACTATTGCTATTTTTAGGTGGCAAACACTCAAAAACAAAAACATTGAATAATACGTCAACAGCGGGGCGAATGCTCAGGCAAAAAAATTAGTTAGTTAAATAAAATCACAAAAATATATGTGGTTTAATGTTATATGGCTAAGTGCGTTAAATATTGTGTGTAAAATGCAACAATAAAATATGTCACATTTAACGAAACATATTTGTTGATTATTTTCCTAGACGCCATATCAGAGCAGAAGATGGCTTTAGCCAGAAACGCTGTCTCGCCTGGTTCCATGAATACACCACGCCTGATGAGCCCGAGACGCTGGGTGAGTATTACCTTTCGTGTTGTTAATAAGTATCTTAAATTGCAACCTGTTAATGCGGAGCAACTGCAATTTGTTATAGGTCCCGATGGCATGGAGAAATTCTGTGAAGATATTGGCGTTGAGCCCGAGAATATTGTGATGCTTGTGCTCGCCTACAAAATGGGCGCTACGCAGATGGGTTTCTTCAGTCAGCAGGAGTGGTTAAAGGGTCTCACAGATCTTGAATGTGATTCGACAGCGAAAATGGTTGTGAAATTGGACTATCTGCGCAGCATACTCAACGATCCCAACTCGTTCAAGAGTATATATCGATATGCCTATGACTTTGCCAAGGTAAGCACTAACTAACTATATTTTTGATTGTGTATTCACACTAAGTTGACTTTTATTGTGCAGGATTCGGATCAGCGAAGCATGGATATTGTGACGGCTAAGGCGATGCTGCAGCTGCTTCTGGGCAAGCATTGGACATTGTATCCACAATTTGCACAATTCCTAGAACAGTCCAAGTACAAGGTTATCAATAAGGATCAATGGTGCAACATACTCGAGTTCTCGCGCACCATCTGTATTGATTTATCAAACTACGATATTGATGGCGCCTGTAAGTAGCTGCCGCCGCGTTTATGAAACAAATAAAAAGATTCAACCACATCCATTTCAGGGCCCGTTATGCTGGACGAGTTTGTGGAGTGGCTGCGTTTGCAACGTGGCTTAGTCATTGTCAGTTCGGGATCCAGCTGAGAGTGCCTGGATCGCATACTTCTAGTTAAACTTTAGAAATTCAGTAGTGTCCACCAGGAGACCAGCGGAAGACACACCCATACGAACTCACACAGAGCCCCCATTACACGCGCTAACTCAACACACACAAACATACGTACACCACGAAAGAGACACAAGGCACTTGAGACTGCGTAAAACTGGCAAAACAAACCAACTATAAAACTACACTATTGATATATATATATTAATATATTTAATGTAATAATTTAATTGTAAACAACATTTAAAAACAAACTGCATAAAGTGTTACTTTTAAGGCATCACCGATACAACAAATGGGCAACAGTTTTAAGACAAAGGAACTTCTCAATCCTCGAAATAGCAGCTAAACCCTGAAAACCCCAACAGCAGCAGAAAGATAAACCACGAACAGTAAAATAATATAATAAGACAAACTTATTATGAATAGATGTAAAAATCGCATAGTCCAAACTAGTAAGAGAAAATCTTAAATTTTGAGCTAGTGAAACCACTAAACAAAGTAAAAAAAAAAAATGCGAATAAACTAGAATGCGATTAGGCTTGTGTGACACGATATATTGATTGTTCTCAAATTTTCATTCCATTTCAAATGTTAGGCATAGCTAGGTACCCAAAGTCCTTAACTACTAGAAAGCTATGGCTTGAGATTTTAAAAAAGGCGGGTACTCCTGGCGAATAAGGTGACACTTTTTTATTCGCGGGTATGCTAAAAATGTGACGCATGTATAGCAAAATGTTATTAATATAGAGGTCTTTTCCACAACTGGTTACTATGGTATTCGGCTAGAACAAGATTACAGTCGTAATCTAGTCTGCATCGTTATTCATAAGTAGACATCCCATCTACCAACGCCTACAGATAATATATAAAGCATGCTTATTTTGAAAAACTGTTCAATTTATATTAATAAAACAGGTTCAACCTTTTCCCAAGCATGGTGTTGCCAGATTAATCAGTATATTGCCTGAGCGTGAGACCAGCTGTTTCAAGATTTGGTATTATCTTTGGAGTTGTAGATAGACTTGTTATTTGGTAAATCGTACATTTTGATTTATCAAGGTACAAAATGTAGTAGCTAATGAGTATATAGCTTACACTAATGTAAATTTGTATAAATCTGAATTTATTTAATTATTCTGGTTGAGAACACTTAAATTCAAATTTCAACGTCAACATGTGCGTTTTTTAATTATTTTTCAGCACTGTTAAAGCAGGGCTGCCTAAAATGTGTTATCGTTTGTGATGTAGTGACGCTGACGAACTACTCAAACTGGCATTCAAATAAAATAAACTGTTTCGGCGCGTTCTCCGCTTTGTGCCTGTGATTCGTGTTGCTCTGGGTCTTGTGCGTTCAGAACATTGTTGGTGTCGATTTGTTAACATATTTTAAAATATATTTGATATACCATTTGCGTGCCGTGCACAGTTATTTGATGAGCTTGGTGAGAAAATAAAGGAAGCAACAAGGCGAGCAAAAATAAAAAACTTCATCTAAACGAGCCAAACCAAGAAAGACATACCAAGAAAAATGGCCGCAAAGCCTGAGGACAAGAGTACGGATATACCCGATCGTCTGTTTGACTCGAATAATCGCAAGACCTACAAGCGTATGCGCTTTTTTGGCAAGGTAAGTCTTAACCATGTTGGTTCTGTATAGTGAATTGGAGGATCTTGCCACGGCTGGGCGCAGATTTATGCAGCTGCTCAGTCGCCTTGCTTGGACATTTAATTCCTGTTGTTGTTTTCGCGGTATGCAGTTATGTGTGTATGTGTGAGGGACTGTGTAGTTGTGCATGTGTGTGTGTGTAAGGGAGCGCACGCACTAGTAGTGTTGCCAAACACGCTAAAACAACCAGTTGGTTCTTTTGGCGCGTACAACTCACAAATGTATGTATGTATGCATGTATGTACATGCATTTATGTATGAATATTATACATTTATTTACATATGTGCATTCATGAGAAATTAAAAAAAAATCAAATAAAATTCTTTTCCCAGGGCGGCTTTGCCAAATGTTACGAGATTATCGATGTGGAAACAGACGATGTCTTTGCCGGCAAGATTGTGTCTAAGAAACTTATGATAAAGCACAACCAAAAAGAGAAGACGGCACAGGAAATAACCATACACCGCAGCCTTAATCATCCAAACATTGTCAAGTTTCACAGCTATTTTGAAGATGTGCAGAACATCTACATTGTGCTGGAGCTGTGCAAAAAGCGCGTTAGTATTCAAATATAGAAATATAAAGAAATATCTCGTCCAGAGGTACAGATTTATTAATCTATTCATGTTTTTGGTCTGCAGTCGATGATGGAGTTGCACAAACGCCGTAAAAGTATTACTGAGTTCGAAACCCGCTATTACATATACCAGATAATACAGGGTGTCAAGTATCTGCACGACAATCGCATTATTCACCGTGATCTTAAGCTGGGCAACCTGTTTCTGAATGACATGTTGCATGTGAAGATCGGAGATTTTGGACTGGCAACTCGTATTGAATACGAGGGCGAACGCAAGAAGACGCTCTGCGGCACTCCCAACTACATTGCACCAGAGATTCTGACCAAGAAGGGCCACTCCTTTGAAGTGGACATCTGGTCGATTGGCTGCGTCATGTACACACTGTTGGTCGGTCAGCCGCCATTCGAGACGAAAACATTGAAGGATACCTACTCGAAAATCAAGAAATGCGAGTATCGTGTGCCGAGCTACTTAAGAAAACCGGCGGCGGACATGGTCATTGCGATGTTGCAACCTAACCCGGAGAGTCGCCCCACAATTGGACAGCTCTTGAGCTTTGAGTTCCTTAAGGCTTCGCAGGTGCCTATGTTCTTGCCCAGCTCTTGCCTGACCATGGCACCACGTATTGGCATCAATGATACCATCGAGGATCCTAGTCAGCGTAAGCCGCTGACGGAAATTAACGGCCTGAGAGACGATACCCGTTTGGAATCGACTTTCTTGAAGAATAATTTACATGATGCCATCACTGCGTCGGCGCAGATGTGTCGCCACAACGAAGACTATCGTAGCGATATTGAGAGTTTGCATCAGCAGCTGACGAAGCTCATAAATGACAAGGTAAGTATGGGTATAGTACTTCCCTCCAGGCTAATGCTTAAAACTTTAACTAAAAACAATAATTTCTATTATTCCTGACAGCCACGTTTATTACAAGGCAATCTGGGTGATGAGAATACCGATCCAGCTGCCCAGCCGCTATTTTGGATATCGAAGTGGGTCGACTATAGCGACAAATACGGATTTGGCTATCAGCTGTGTGATGAGGGCATCGGAGTTATGTTCAATGACACCACAAAGCTCATTCTGCTTCCGAATCAAATAAACGTGCACTTTATTGATAAGGAGGGCAAAGAAACCTATATGACCACGACTGATTACTGCAAGACACTGGATAAAAAGATGAAGCTGCTGTCATATTTTAAGCGCTACATGACGGAGCATCTAGTAAAGGCAGGCGCTAATAATGTTACCGTTGAGAGCGATCAAATTTCGCGTATGCCCCATCTGCATTCCTGGTTCCGCACAACGTGTGCGGTAGTCATGCACCTAACCAACGGTTCTGTCCAGGTACGAGTTGAATAGCTGCAGACACTAGTCCAATTTTTTGATTATTTATTTCTTGCCTCGTTTAGCTTAATTTTTCGGATCATATGAAGATTATTTTATGCCCACGCATGAGCGCCATCACCTATATGGATCATGAGAAGAACTTCCGGACATACAGATTCTCAACTATTGCACAAAGTGGAGTTTCCAAGGATCTATATCAGAAGATACGTTACGCTCATGAGAAGCTGAGAAAAATGCTCGAGAAGATGTTTGTTTGAGCACAAGATGAGAATACTACAGCCGGCTGATTTCATTCATTATCGTAACGTTTATGTTTAGTTAAACCGAATTCATTAACTCTACATACAGCGCGCAGGCTTAGCTTAAGTAAATCTTCTCTTTGCTCCATAATTTTCCAAATTTTAGTTGCTGTTTAAATTTACCCGCTTGTTTATTGATTAAGTTAAAGATTCTTTTTTGTTTTCGGTTAGCTATTTCCGTTTGTAACATGTCAATCGCAAAAATTAGGCGACTCTCACACGCAATTATATATATGTTTCCATGTTTTAAAGATACAAATATACAATCTAATAAAGATTTTAACATTATCAGAATCATATAAAATGTTTTGATTTCCTAACGATTATTATCGACATTGCGATATCTTGCACAGAGGTACTTATTGGTTATCGATTCGAGTTATCGAAATGCGAATTCACCTGCATTTTTAAACAGCTGACAAGAGTGTTATTAATACGAAATAATTTTGTTGGTCTTAACTATTTATGCTTCGAAATGTTGTAAGTAATACTTATTTTTGGCTATATAAGATTCCTTTGCCTATCATATCAATGAAAAAAAATATTGGAATACATAGTTCAGTATATTCAGTTACATTCGGGAAAAATTATCGTATTTTAGGATAGAGCTTTGGTCACACTTTTGCATATTCGTATTGATTTTATTTTCAGAAAAGTCCAAGACAAAGTTGTGGGAAACATATTAAAAAGCCATCGAATAGTCATCTAAATGCAATTTGGTGAACAAAAAGGCCACAAGTGCAATTATGGGCGACAATGAGCAAAAGGCCCTTCAGCTTATGGCTGAGGCGGAAAAGAAGCTGACACAACAAAAGGGTTTTCTCGGCTCACTTTTTGGGTGAGTAATTTGTGTGCTAGCAACGAGTTTTACTATAACTGTTTTAAATGTTTAAGTCATCCGATAGATTCTCCTGTCAATATTCCAATCTCTTTCAGTAATTTCAAGCATGTACGCACATATACATATGAATATATAGTTATGTATATACATACATACATACATATTTTATTTACGTAGTTAAAGGGGAAAGTTGTAATGCATGCGCCATATATACATACGTCATATATACATATGTATTATTATGCATTTATAAGTTAAAGCTGAATATAAATACTAGAAAAAAATACCCTTTATAACTACGTATATATGCACTCCTTTAGTGGGCATTTTTAATGGAAAACTAACCTTTGGAAGAAGACCCTGAACGAACCCAAAGTTATTGCAAAAACAATTTTACACAAAAGTGATAAGCTAACAAAAAGGGGTTCAACTGATAAAGTTAATAAACATTCGTTGCAAGCTGAATAATGTAATTATTGTATAGCTTACCAATTGATTTGCGGTCTTCTTTTTGTTCATGGTGAAAAAATGTTAAATATCCCAATTACATCATTGCAGAGGCTCCAACAAGGTCGAGGATGCCATCGAATGTTATTCGCGAGCTGGCAACATGTTCAAAATGTCCAAGAACTGGACTAAGGCCGGCGAATGCTTCTGCGAGGCAGCCACGCTGCACGGACGCGCCGGCAGTCGCCACGATGCAGGCACCTGCTACGTGGAC